TGCGCGCGCACATAGATACAGGGATAGGCAGACAATATGGATTTCTTTTTCAAACATCTTTATTGAAGTATAATTGACATACAGTACACTAACCATATTAAAAGTGTACAATTTTACAGGTTTCAACATTTGTGGTCACCCATCACTATGACCATTATAATCAAGATAATGAATGTATCCATTCCCCCCCAAAGTTTCCTTATACCCCTTTGCCATCCTGTCCCCAGTCCCTCTGACTGGGCCCCCCCACCAGGAAACCCTGGGTCTGTTTTGTGTCATTAAAAGTAGTTTGCATTTTCTAGAATCTCATGTATGGGGGACTTTTTAGCATTTGAGGTGACAGTTTTGCACTTTCCCCTTATCAGCACAACTTTGAAGGGCAGCGAGGCTTCCCTTTTCTTCTGCTTGTTGTCATTTTTGTCCAGTGCGCTGTTTCCTGTCCCATTTCTCCACTGGGTTTTACTTTGTTTATATGAGCTCCCCATTTGTTAACGTTTTTCATCATTGTTAGAAATAGTCTCCAGTTTATATTGTTTTCCTTGATAATTGTAAGTTATTTTAGACACAGAGAAGTTTTAGTGCTACTGGAGTTTTGCAACCCTTGAGGCAGGTGTGTGAACGGGTTAGGGATGTGAGTGATGCCAGTCTGTGTGATTGCCCGCCGCCCACCCTGAACGTCAGGTGTGTGTGCTGAGGGCCAGCGGTACCTTGAGGAGCATTCGCCTTTTCACTGTCAAGCAGCCTAGTTTACTGTCGAAACTGGCAGGTTGGGGAGGCCACACCTGGATCCTTGGCTCATGTTGCAGAGACCTGAAGTTTGACCATGTTCTGTTTCCTTTCAGGTCCGTGGCCTTAGGGAGGGGCTACACGTGGCCCCCGGCCCCAGGGATGGGAGCGGAGAGCAGCGCCCTGAAGAGCTGTGCGCTGAAGGGGCCCCCAGTCACCCTGCCCTCTGGACTAGCCGTGTTCCCCGCCGAGCTGCAGGATGGCAGAGTCGCGTCGGTGTTTGTGTACAAGAGAGAAAATGAAGCCAAGGTTAACAAGGCCGCCAAGGTTCGCGGTGGGACCCCTTAATAGTTAGTACTTTTTACTACGAAAAATATGAGATGAATGAAGGCCAAGGGAGGTGGGGCATAGGAACAGCATTTTTATTCATGGCCTTTAAAAACATAGTTGTCCCTACTTCACGGGAGTGTCCCCAACTTGCATGACGTGGTCAGGGACCATAGGCATAGTCAAAAGCTTCATAAAGCTCAGTGTGGTGGCTTCCGTATCAGATTGTATTTTGTAGTGAGAAGCTTGGGAGGTGACTTCACATCACTGATGTAAGATAAAGAGAGTTTATCTAGCTCAGCACAAGTGCTCTAAGTATTGACAGTATTTCAATAGTGTATTAATGGTGGGCCGGGAAAGAAATATTTTAGGAACTGTACTATTTTCTCTTTTCCTGAGGTATTGCGATGCAGCGGGCATTAAAGACAGAATATCCAGCCGTGTCTCAGATTTGCATCTTAGGAGGAAGAATATTTCTCCCTGAAATGTGTGCTCCCTAGTTTAGGCCTCTCGGTTATTGCGTTATATTTCTTCAACAGCATGATATGATGGCTTTCTCCTGTCTTAAGAGCCTGCAAGTGAGTTGGGGCTATAGTTAAGAAGTGCTCTGTGTAATTTTCAGTGAAATAATAAGTCAGAGGTAGACAGTAATGAAAAGTTAAGCCCTGAAGGCTTGAGTTAATTCTCTGCCTACCTGAGTCGTAACTGATCCCTGAAACATGGGCCTAGTTTCTAGTCATGACTGGGTGTCACACTCAGCCTGGGTAAGGAGGCATCCCGACCAGTCACCTAGTCCTGCCCCTGCTGAACAGTGAGGTCCTTGCTCAGAACCCTCTCATAGCACTTAGACTGCGGATGGTGGGCCAGGTGTTAGGAACTTGGGGACAAATACTTTCTAGGCGCCCCCACTCAGCCACAGTCATCTCTCTCCCCAGAACCAGTGCTGTTCCTCCCTCCAGTTGGTGCTCATTGAAAAACCTGTCCAAGTTACACTCAGCCCATGCACCTTGTCTCTCCTTGTGTTCTCTAGAGCAGCAGATGCTTTAGTTAAGAAATATTTGTTTGATTGCTAACTGCTGGCCTTTCCCATAAATTCGCTTGCAGAATTTATACATAACTATGCCCAAGGGAGCCCCAAATAGGGCTCTTGCTCAGGGTCAGGCAGTGAGCTCTTTCTTCCTTCAGTAAACAAACAAGGAGTCACTTTGGACCCAGAATTTTGCTGGGCATGCAGGGTTAAAATAAACAAGTGAAAATGAAATTTACTTTTTCATTTATTAACCAGGTGAACGTATATCGACTGTGCTTCTAGGCCACTACTGAGCCAGGCAGCAGTCCTCTGACTTGCTGTCTGCCCGGAGCCCTGGGAGGGTAAAAGAAGGCACATAACCCAGAGGACAGTCACTCAAGCCTAACACGGGAAAGCCTAGTGAATTTTTCCTCGAGGCACACATTTCAGGGAGAAATACTCTTCCTCCTAAGATGCAAACCTGAGACACGGCCTGGTCTGCATGCTTTCATTTACTTCTCAGAGTTCTCAGGTGGTTGCTTTGGGCACTTTGTTCAAGTCAGAGCAGTAACCCTTGGGAGGGCCAGGCTGCCTGGCTTACACTGCATAGTGGCATTGGACGTTTATGTAGTTATTTAAATATTGGTAAAGTCAATAAAGTCAAAACAAGTCGGAGAGTCTTGGCCTCATTTGAAAGATGGGGGGTAGCTGGGGAAGGAAGGGAGCTGGAAAGGAGCTTGAATGAAAGTGTCCATTTCCTGACCTTTCCTGTGACACATATGAAACTCCAGTGGATGTGGGTTTGCGTCTTCACCTCCAGACTCTTCTGTTTGCATTTGTAAAGCACCTCAAGACACTGCGGCACCCCTGCTTGCTGAGATTCTTGTCTTGCACGGTGGAGGCAGATGGCATTCATCTGGTCACTGAGCGGGTGCAGCCTCTGGAAGTGGCCTTGGAAACGCTGTCCCCTGCCGAGGTCTGTGCTGGGATCTACGACATCCTGCTGGCTCTGATCTTCCTTCACGACAGAGTGAGTGGCCTGGACACAGGAGCCAGGGGTAGACTGTAAATTATGCTGTGTGTAGAAGTCATACACTCCTCTTCTTTGGAGTTGGCAGTTAGTGACAGACTATTTCAGCTTACTAGTCTCCCTCCAGTTTTGGCTAAGTCTTTACCTACAGACTTAGGTAAATACAGCTGTGGCTGGTATTTGTTAATAAAACAAAGACAAAGGGTTAGCATCAGTTCAGCTGTGGACCAAAGTTCCTCTTCATTTTCAGTAGTTTTGTTCCATTTTCAATTTTGAAAAGAAAATGATAATTTCTTAGAAAGAGGCAGAGTTTTACACATCTCTTCCCATTTGAGTACTCTGTACCAGTGAGACCGCCTCTTGGCCCTGTGTCGCCCTTTTCAGTTCAGGAATAAACTGGCTGCTGCTGGGTCGTGTCTGGACAGGTTAGAGTTACTGTTGCTAGTGGAGTTTACACTCTGACATGGTAGGGCCTTTGGCAGCTCCCCAAGATTAAAACCACCAGTCACAGGTTAGAAACACTTGCATTTGCTTCATCTTAATATATGTTTTTAAAATGTTTCCTATTAACAGGAGACTGAGTCTCCAAATATCACTTTGGGTTTATCTTCTCCTAAAAGTGTATCTGAGGTTCACATAGAGGAACTGCTATGCTTTGCTCTGGGGGATATGCCCTCTGATAGACAAGGCACCTGCACCTGGCGGAAAGTCTGACTAGTGTGGCGAGCGTAGAGGAACAGTCAGCCCCCCGCCGTCCTTGAGCACAATGTCCTGTCCCTCCACGGTGCTGGGCCCTCAGTCCAGAAGTCCGTGCTGGTAAAGCGAACCCGAGCACTGGCTCTCCTTCATTTCTTCTCAGATGGAGACATACCATCCACACTATTCTAAACTTTCCTTTAAAAAGTATATGCCTTGGAATGTTTTATGTAAAAGTAGGTACATATTTGCTCTACTAGGTAAAATATTTCAAATGTACTTGTCTGCGGGAATGATTCGTGATTTGGAAAAGAAAGCCTGTACTTCACCCCTCACGGGTGTTCGGCCTTTTTATGGTGGTGGCTCTGCAGTGCTCTGTGGAGTTTCTGGCCATCTTTATCATTCCATTTCCTCCTCCTCGGGCAGAATTTTCTTAGGCCTACTAGGACAGGACTTCAGGTGACACGGGTCTGAGTTCAGAAGATTTAAACAGGAACCTGTGGGAGCAAAGAAACTTGATCTTTACAGGCATGAGAGGCAAACACATAGGTTGTAAAGACTGGTAGACTCATGCTTAAGGACACGTATCTCCTGACTCCCGTGGGAACGGGGTGCAGTGTCTGAGCAGCGGCCTCAGTGTCTTAATGGGCCTCGTCATGCGGGGGAGGTGACAGAGCCCTTCCCTGGCGTCTCCCCCTTTTTCTAAACTTTCTAAGTGCTTAGGCAGGCTCCTTCAGCTTGTCATGCCGAGAGTCAGGCTTCCATTTAGGATGCCACAAGTGAGACCGGCCAGGCCATTTTTTGGTGATTAATACTTAGTTCTTTGAAATTTCTGCCTTGAAAATTGGAGCGGCAGCCTTCTTCTTGTTCCTCTTTTCCAGGGACACCTAACACACAACAACGTCTGCTTGTCATCCGTGTTTGTGAGTGAAGACGGGCACTGGAAGCTGGGAGGGATGGAGACAGTCTGCAGAGTTCCCCAGGCCACCCCGGAGGTGAGTGGTGGCAGCCCCGTTATCAGAATTTGATGGCGTAGTTTGGTGTGGTTCTCTGCAGGGACTTCCTTCAGTGTTGGCATGATCTTGTGTTTGGAGACTTGACTTTTTTGTCAGTGCTCATATTCCTAGAATTGTGGGATTTTATTCTTCACAGGGCATTGGGGTCACTTACTCTTCATTGTTATTTTATAGCTGAGGAGCCTGAGGCTGAGAGGTAAACTGCCTTGGTCAGATTTTCAGTTTAGCGCCCCTCCTCTCTGCTCCTGTACTTAATGGTATCATGTCATGCTGAACGTTCCACACGTGTCTGTCTGTGCCAGGTGTGACAGTGTCTTATACTTTATAGCTCCACCCAGATAGTGCCAGGCACATATTAGGTACAACTTATTGTTTGTGGCACAATCGTCCAAGTTGTCACAGGTCACACATTATGTCCTAGGAGCTGGAATCAGGACCCGTGGGCTGTGTGGCTGCCTGTGGCATGTCATACAATTTTGTCCGGCACAGATCTCCCTTCGAATGTTCCTTTTAAGCTGATGAACCTCTGTCCTCTGTCTTATTTCTTGTTTTCACCATCGGGCATGTTACCACAAGACTCATTCTTTCCGAGAAAAGGAAACCCACTCCTATGGTAATACCCCGGCTGAAGCCCTGCCCCCACTGGCCCCGCCCCACCGGGACCGCACCCTCAGGCTCTCCCTCTTCCAGGCGCCACTTCACCTGGAAGACGCTCCTGATTATCATTTCCGCCCATTGACTGCTTCCCAGACATCACCTTAGTCTCAATAATATCTCCACATGTAGTTCCTTCTGGGACATGTTCCAGACGCTTCCACACGTGAGGCAGATGAGGCCGCGTCTCTTCCCCATCCGCCCGTGGGCTCCATCGGAGCTCACACGCCCTTGCTGAGCTCCATCCTGCGTGGCTGCTCCGCTGCTCGCTGTGGTCTCGGGTGCCGGCTTCCTCCTCTGCCTGCGGCTCTGTTTCTGGGCACCCTGCTTGCCGTGGGCCCTCTGGGAGATGTGAGAGGAGCTGCAGTGGAAGACTGAGCTCGGTGTCCTCTGCGAAGCCCTCCCTGGCCTCCGACCCAACATGAATCACTCCTGTGCTTTGTGGCCCTCGGCATGTGTTGCTGAAACTCGTAGCTTATGTTCTAGGCTGAGCACAGGGAGTTGATTGCATTCTTTTTATATTCCTAGTTCCTTGAATGGTGTTTGGGACTTAGGAGCTCTTAAAAAATAATCTTTGTATCAGTGAAAAAATGTGCTTGTTCTGTGATGTTGGTTTTGTCTCAGTAGCTTATAAGATCCTCCACTTTTATATCTCACGGGGCTCTGAGCCTTGCGACTGACTCGCAGTGGAGGAGCCTCGCTGGTTAGCATCTGTGTAGGAGGGAGAACGTTCCAGTTTCCATGTGGGATGGCAGGTGCCTCCAACAGCAGGGGTGTCTGTTAGACCAGCTGAAGTGGGAGGGACGGAACTGATGTGGGTCCCTACTGGAGCCTCTCACTGTGCTGGGCCTGTTTCCTTTTTCAATTAGGAGTTAAATTTGTGTACTTGATGGGTGGCGGTGCTGGACCGTATCATGGCTGCTGTTTCCATTGCTCACTGCTGTTTTTGTCGCTTGATGTCAGATTGGTTTACCAAACATTCTCATGAATTCCTTTCCTTATTTATTTCTCTGTGTAGTTTCTGCAGAGCATTCGGTCAGTGAGAGACCCGGCATGTATCCCTCCTGAAGAGACGGTAAGATGATACACACCATTCTTTGTGCACCTGAGTGTGACACTTCACAACCCCTTTCTCGGCCCTCCCCTTTCTTCACTGAACTATAGAAGACTCTAATTCCTGTGGCTTCGAAGGCTTCTGGGAGTAATCTCATCCCCACAACAGGGAGCCTTCTCTTGACACGCAGCTGACGTTTTGGTCCTATACCTGTGACATTGCTTACATGGAGCAGTCTGTCTGATATGTGGAATCTAAAGAACAAAATAAATGAACAAACAAAATAGAATCAGACCCATAGATACAGGGCACAGACTTACAGTTGCCAGAGGGGAGGGGGCATGGGGGGCTGGGTGAAAAAGGTGAAAGGATTAAGAAATACAGATTGCTAGTCACAGAATGGTCACGGGATGTAAGGTACAGCACAGGGACTATAGTCAGTGGTATTGCGATAACTACATGTGGTGCCAGGTGGGTACTAGAAATATCGGGGATCACTTTATGTAAAGTGTATGATTTTCCTAACCATTCTGCTATGCACCTGAAAATGATACAAAACAATTTTTAATATAAACTATAATTTTTAAAAATATATTTTTTTAAACAAAGAAGGGCCTCAGTGTAGACAGGTTGGTGCCTCCTCCTTGTGTCATGGTGTCGCTGTACTTTGCTGGAAGGCAGAAGAGGGGAGGCAGCACAGAACCACCACTCGGCCTGTCTGGCCATCAGTTAGGAATCCGACATGCACACGAGAGTGATCATCACGTCTGTGTGCTGGTAGAGAAAGCTATACTTACCGGTAAAGTCGAAAGCAATTGTTCTCTCTAAACCTGTTCTTATAACCACTGTAAACAAATATTGATCCCCAAAGTGACGTCTAAATGTGCTTACAGGAAATGCAAACCCAACTAGAAATACAAACTTAAATAGAAACCTAAGATTTGAAGTAAATCAGGTTTATCCAAATCAGTATTATGTGTATATACTAGTGATTTTCTGGTGATAGGTGGGTCTTAAATCAATTTAAGGGTTCTAACTGGCATTTGAAGGTGAAAAAAAAAAAAAAACCAGAAAAATATCATTGGGCATCTTAGGTAGTAATATTTAGTACTGTTTTATGAAACTTTTGTTTTCCATTGTATGTGTATTTATACACGTGTGTATGCTGATGATAGTGAATAATAGTGATTTATTGCTTACTCTGGGTTGCTGTCACATATATTTTGAAAGCTATAGCCATTAAAAGCCTATAAACTAGAGTAGTATCCTCCAGTTAGCTTTGAATACAATAAATGCAAAAAAGGGAGAACGTGCTTCAGAGACAGTTAGCAATGGTTTGTGAGTCAGCTCCTCCAGTGTTAATGGCCTCTCCTGCTTCTAGTCGCCAGAATTCACAACCCTGCCGGAGTCACACGGACATGCTCGGGACGCCTATTCATTCGGGACGCTGGTGGAAAGGCTGCTTACAATCCTGAGTGGACAGGGTGAGTTGGCATTAAACTGCTGCATCCACAGACAGGTGCACCACCCATGGCCTGCTCTGCATGGGCTCGCAGGCCTGCAGGCCTCCATTGCAGTGAGGGCCCTGTGCTTGCCAGTGACCTGTGGGCAGGTCTGAGCAGCGGGAGGAGAGAAGCCCAGGTTTCTCCAGTTTGCCTCATTAAAAGAACTTTCCATAGGAAGCATCTTGAACTCTGGCCATCAGTGTCATGTGTTATTATCTTACTAATTGGTGATGCTATTTATGGTCTGAAGACTGTTTGAAGCAGCCAGTGAGTGCGTGCTGTTACGGACTCTGTTATCTGTAACAGGTGAACAGAGTAAGGTTCAGAATTTGTTATTTCTAAATCAAACTTGCTTTTTTTTTTTAATCTTTATTCCTTCAGAGTCCTTTTGAATTTTTTCATCTGGCTATAACTTATTAGCTTTTCCATTTGTTGCCTCTTTAAGCCCATACTACTGAACAAGCGTTTTCTCCTAAGTCCTCTAGTGGCAGCTGCACCACCGTCCTCCAGCCACCCATTAGGTGTCCTGGGGACATGGCCCGTTAGGCCCCTTACTGGCCCGTACCCCACTGCTGAGGTTTCGTGCAGGCCTAACCCAGCTTCTCCCACCAGGCTGATGCCCCAGCCTCGGTACTCGAGAATGAGACCCTGAGGCCCCAGGCAGGCACCCCTGTGCGCAATGAACTCCTGCTCTCCACTGGTCTACAATGGTCGCAGTTATGTGCCATCCCTGGGAGAATTGAAAATACCATCCTTCAGATACTCAGGGTTCTTTGGATGAGCCACCCCGGGTGACAAGGCCCACACACCTTCGTGCATTACCTCCTTTAGGCCCAAGCTGAGTTAGACAATCAGAACGAGGGCATGGGCACAGAGGCACCTGGGGTGGGTTTTTCTGTGGTGGGGTTGGCAGGACAGTTTCCTACACCTGCCAGGGAATTTGGCTTCAGGACTGGAAGCTGTTTCGCAACAGCCAGGGCTCTGTTTGTTTGGGCTTTTACAGGTTGGTTTTTGCTCTCGTCAGTCTCCAGCTAGAGAGGCCCTGAGAGGAGGGAGAAGCCTTGGAAACTAACTGTCGCTCTGGATTTCAGTTTCAGCGGACGCTCTCTGCAGCTTCCAACAGACCTTGCACTCAGCTCTGCTGAATCCCATCCCACAGCGTCGGCCAGCGCTCTGCACCTTACTGTCCCATGACTTCTTCAGGTGAGGGACCTGGTGGAACACGCGGCCCCCTGCCACCACCTGCTGTCCGCGCATCCGCTGCAGTGGAACAAATGCTACGGCCCCTTTTGTTAATCGAGAGAGGTTGAGTCTTGTCCATGTGGGGAATAGGGAGCCGGCTCACCTCTCAGGGTCCTGTCACAGACAGGAAGCTGTAGAAATGTGTTGTCAGGAGGCCGGCCCTTGGCATTACAGCCAGGTCCTTAGGGCGCCTGGTGGGGAAGAAGCTAGGCTGGGGCCTGGGCTCAGCTGTGAGAAATGGAGGGAGTTAATCAACGTGGCCGCTCCTTTCTGCCACCAGTTACTGATGTGAGTTTACTGTTGAAATTTTCTTGTTGGGGGCTGGACATGAGCTTACGTTTGTTTAGGCAGAAGATTTTCTTTTAGTAAGATGGGCTGGCACAGCAGAGAGGGGGGCTTAGAGGGAGAGGCACAGATGACACTGTCCCAGGGTCAGACGTTCCTGAGCCTCTCAAGATGGGTTTGAGTTTTGTTTCCTTCATTTTTTTATTTCTATGAACTGCTCAGGTTAATTCTACATTCGTGACTTTTGTTAGCAAAGCCAGCCCTGTGTCAGGTTTTAAACTAAAACTCTTCAGTTTGCATTCTGAGAGCCCGAGGAAAACAAAGCAAAGAGAAAGCTGATGTCCCCCCGAGGGGACACTTACCTCTGGAATAGGATAGGGGAGCTGTTGCTATGCAGGCGGAGGAGCAGTTTCCTGGTAGTTATTAGGGTTTTGTCATTTGTTTCCAAGGAACTCTAAAGCCTTTTCCTTACAGGAGTGTTCACCAAGGTATTGTGACATTCTTTGGGTGATTCATAGTAATGCTTTATTTACCTTGACACAGAGGCCATCCTGCACAGTAGACAGATTCCCTCGTCACTGTGTGTGGTAAGAGTTTAGAACTCTCGAGGGCAGAGAAAAGCAAGAAAATCACACCTGCTCCCCTTCCCGAAGTCTGGGGGCCGGGCCAGCATCTCCTGGCGGCAGCTGAGCCAGGTTGATTAGACTTCAGTTAGACATATGGGCTTTTTATCTGCTTCTGAGCCCGAGGGAAACGGGGTAAGTGTGAGGTGAGGAGCCCAGGGCAGCTGTGCTTCTTGGGGCTGCAGGCTGCCTGGGAAGCCTCCTTCCCAGGGAACCTCCCAGAGGGCAGGACAGTAGGATGGACAGCAGTGGCCCTCTTCCCTGCCTGGCTGGGAAAAATGACCAAACAGCCACAGCAGGAGAAATGCGAAGATTCCTGTGGGTGTATGAGAAAGCTGCTTCCCCAACCTTCATTAACAGTTTTCACTTCGGCAAAGGAGACTTGAGAAGCAACAGCTGTTTCGTAGTGAGAACCGTTTCTCCCAGGTGTCGCATCTGACCACACCCCATTACCACAACGGTGTGTGTTTAGGGTGTATCGTCCCCCCAGATCTCTCTGATTCTCAGTACAGTGGCACCTTGGTTTTCAAATGTGATCCATTCCGGAACCGTTCAAGTTGTGAAACGTTCGAAAACTGAGGAATCAGCAGCCGACAGCTGGGCCTCAGGATCTTGCCCTTAGCGGAAGCTGGGGCATGTTCAGCTTCCGAGGCATTTCCTTCGTCAACGGAGGCGTTTGAAAACCGAGGCACCACTGTATTAGATTCCCTGTGGGCTTACTCCGTGATATTTGTCCCATGAGCTACATAGTTGTAACAGAACCTTCTGCAAGGCACAGGAGCATGTTCCCTTGTTGAGTGTTACTACAGTGTCGTCTGGTTGTGCTTCAGTGTTTGACATGCTTTCTCTAATCTATTGTCCTGCGTTTTTTTCTTTTTGGCATTCAGGAATGATTTTCTAGAAGTTGTGAATTTCTTGAAAAGTTTAACATTGAAGAGTGAAGAGGAAAAAACTGAATTCTTTAAGTAAGTTCAGAAAGTTAACACCTCAAAATTGTGAGTCCATGAAATCGGGTGGTCTGGAAAGGTGGGTCAGACATTTGGTTTGTTAACGAAGTTTATTGAGCATTGCTCCGTGTCAGGCTTTCTGCTCTGCCCTCGGATCAACAGATCTGGGGAGGGAAACAGGTGGAGCCGGAGAGTCCTTGCAGTGATGGAGCTCACAGGGCGTCCTGAGAACACCACCGGGGAGAAAGGGAGGTGCTCTAGGCAGAGGGCTTGGATCCCTTAGACTGACCCGAGGTAGTCAAGGCAGTAAATATGAGGCCACATGTACAAAGAAGACACCAAGATAAGAAAGACTTAAAACATAAAATCGCAAGCCTTAGTGGTCGTCACCAAATGAATTAGGATTCTGGGGCAGAGAACCTCATGTGCAGGGGAAATGAATTGATGTTAGCGTGTCTGTGGAACTTCACATGGAGATGTGCATGGGCTCTGGGCCAGGTGGGTCTGAAGCTCAGGAGAGGCGGCTTAAACTGATGAGCTGGAGATGACTGTTAGGGTTCATCAGGCTAGAGTTGGTGACATTCCCCCAGAGAAGGGGAGCATGAAAAGGACAGTGGGCCCAAATTGTAACCCTGGGGACCTGACCTGCTAAGGGGCTAGAGGAGGAGTGGCTGACGAGTGAGACAAGGGACCAGTGGTCAAAGGAGACTCAGCAGGAAGGCAGGTTTTCCCAGGTGGGGAGCGTGTCGGGAAGGTGGAGCCACAGGAATGCAGTGGAGCTTGTCTCAGAAGGAGCTGCTTCCCAGAGTGAGCCCGGCAAGGGGAGAAGGTAGGTGTGGGGTAGAACCTGCAGAGTTCACAGCAGGGAGCACGTAGAATTGCTGAGGAAGGAAATTCCTTCTCAGTGGAGTTGAGCGGACATTTTTAAGGGTTGAAGAGGTGGGAGCAGAGGAGAGGAGGGGGCAGTTGAAGCTGCAGCCATGCTGGGGACTGCTGGCGATCTTGGAAGGGAAGGGAATGTGGGGACAGTGGCTGGGTGGCCTTAAAAATAAGAGGAGGCCCTCACATCCTGGATGCCTGGAAAGGAGGTAGGGATGAGTAGGGATGTGGATGGGCCTGTAGATGGATAGTGGCCTGTTTCCTAGTAAAGCGGGGGGAGATTAAAGTGGGGGCTGATTGTATAGCGGGGTCGGATTACCGTTAACATCTAGTATCTGTGTCCTTGTTAACTAAGGATTTTTACACCTGCTGTTTTAATAAGTTTAGTAACAAAAGCCTGTGCTTTGTTTACTTTGAAGTTTGGATAATTTCACATCCCACATCTTTTACACTGGGGAAGCACCTTTGACTGACTCGCAAGCCTCTCGCTGTGGGGGGAAAGGACACTTCTGATGTTAATGGGGGGCAATATGCTGAAAACATTTCCTCGCTCAGGTTGGAGGTCTGAGTGCTGACGAGCTGGCCTTGCCTCTCACCTGCATTCTTCTTAACTACCTGGGGCTGACCTGGGCAGCTTCGCTAGCTTCATTTCAGAATGCATGTCAGGTGGAGTAGGAGACAGGCCGCACGGTCTGAAGCGTGCACGGGAGTTTACCCAGTGTCGCGACCAGTTCCCAGGCTTTCCTTCCTTGCCCACAGATTTCTGCTGGACAGAGTGAGCTGCTTGTCGGAGGAACTGATAGCATCCCGGTTGGTGCCTCTGCTGCTTAATCAGCTGGTGTTTGCAGAGCCAGTGGCTGTAAAGAGTTTCCTTCCTCATCTGCTTGGCCCCAAAAAAGGTGAATTTTTTTTCCAAACTCTTATTGGTAGTTGAGTTTGGGGATTATTAGTCCATATTTGAGCAGAGTGAGATTACCGCATGGTATAGTTAATGTTGCTTCTGGAAGTGGGGAACAGCATTGGCCCCTAATAATTGTGACTCAGACCTGGGGCCCAGAGCCCACAGCACAGACATAGAGCGTCTTCCTGAAAAGTCAGACTTCCTGTGGTCAGCAGGTATCACACACAGGGTCACAAACGTGCATGCACATGTACAGGACCAGCATATGAAAAGCACGTGCAGGTGTGAGGCGAGGCACATGTCTTCAGGGACTTGTGCATTTGCGACGAATCGCTGGGGCCTACTCCTCCTAACTTCCCCAAAGCACCCACTTCTTTTCTCAGTGGAAAAATTGAAAAGCACCGAGATCACTTCTTGGGACTTCAGGGTTTTTTCTGAATGTGAAATGAGGTTATTGCTTTGAAACTTTGTGACTTTATCAGCACTGTAGATGGTAACATATCAGGTTAGAGAGTATAGTATTAATATGACTCTAGAATTTTGAGTTGGGGAGAGTCCTGCTTTTAGAATTTACTAGATAGTCTCAATCTAAGCCAGCAGTGTTTCAGTAACTGTTACAACTGGAATGTCTTTATATTCTACTTTGATGTCATTCCCTTAGCTGTGAACTTTTCGCTAGAGCGCTTTCGGCTTTCATCTGATTACTCGGATCTTAGGTGGGAGTGTACATCTGAGTCATCTGGGGAGCGTTCTAAAATTTTGTCTGTATGCCTGATCCCCTGGTTCTGGGACAGCTAGGACAGGGGTATTATACATATTTTAAAGATTCCCACAACCGCAACAGCTCTCCAGCGCCAAGTCCTTACAGATGTAATTGCAACAGTATCAATCTAGTGTAGTATATAAAATTCCCCATGGAGTAAGCATAAATGTATAAAGAGTTATTGGTTCCGGGTTCTATTAAAATATAAGCTTGCTTTGTAGTACATTAAGAATGATATTGTATTTTTCAAACACTTCTGTCAGGTGGAGTGTATTTGTAATTCAGCCTTGAGAAGAATTTTGGGTCAACAAAAAGCTTCCCTTTGGTTTGGGGCCTGAGAATTTAGAGTACTGGGATGTGTCTGGTTCTTAGCACCCTTCTCTGAAATGGCAGTTTGTGTTTCATCTGTCTCATGTCTGCTCTGGGGCAGGTGATGTGCCTGGAGAGACCCCTGGCCTGCTGTCACCGGCCCTGTTCCGCTCACGGGTGATCCCCGTGCTGCTGCAGCTGTTCCGAGTGCACGAGGAGCATGTGCGCACAGTGCTGCTGTCACACCTGGAGGCCTACGTGGAGCACTTCACTCCTGAGCAGCTGAGGACAGTCATCCTGCCACAGGTCAGAGACCTTCGGCGCCCAGGGTTCTGCAGCTGGAAGGCAAGGGGGTGGGCCCCATGAGTGCTGATCAGTGAGCCTGAAAAGAGGAAGAGGGCTTTGGCTTTAGATGAGTGTGCAGGAGGCCTTGAGGCAGCAGTTAAGCTGAAATTAAAGCTGCATGGCAGTCCCGTTCACTGAAGCCAATCGGTTAAACTAATGGCCTGAAGCTGAGAAAAACTAGAATCATTTGCTGATTCTTTGGGCAGGAGGAGCATGCATTCTTGGAACGCTTCGGGAACAGACTGCTCATAACTCGTGTAATTGTAACCGAGCGGGACAGAGGTTGTGAGATCAGGGCTTTTCAGCTTCATAAGTCACCTGGGAGCCTCATTAGGATTTGCCCACTCGGGTTTCCTGTGACTGATGAACAAGTGATAGAAAACGGCTTAAAACAAGAGAACTCTTATTCTCTCTTGGTTCTAGAGGCAAAAGTACAAACTCAGGGTGTCGGCAGGCAAGAGCTCCCTGAAGTCTCCAGGTTCAAATCCTTCCTTGCCTCCCAGCTTCTGCTGGCTCCTGGGCCTTTGTTAGCATTGGCTGTGTAGCCGCTGGAAGAAGTTCCACTGGGCCGGAGTTGGGTGGAGTCTCAGGGTATCACCAGGGCGGTGAAAGGTGTTAGCCATGTTAATGAGACTCAGATTTGGCACCTGCTGCTGGGGGGGGCTGTCCACAAAGGGACAATGGTACCTGCCGGTGCTTCCGGCCTTGGAGGGAGCAGCCCTGATTCCTAACCCTCCAGCTCTCTCCCTGAAGCCAGTCGATCCTGCCCTCCCCATGTGGCCCTGGTGCTCTTCGGGCTGCTGCCCCTGTGCTGGAGCTGAGCCAGTTTGTGTGTGAGTCTGGCCCTTTAAGAGGACACTGGGGCCTCCAGCAGCCCTGCCTCTCAAGTGCAGTCCTTGCTGGTTTTCACAGCCAGATGTTGTAGGCACTCCTTCCTGGCACTGGAACCTGGGCTGGGACCCGTTACTCCTCCTGGGGTCCTCAGCAGACGAGATATCCCTCCCGATTCTTAACTGCCACACATGGGTGTGGAACTAGGCTCTTCCTTGTCTCCGCCCCTTCTGCCCATCTTGCTCTGGCTGCTGCTTTACATCCTTAGTTATAGAACTTCTTTTCAGCTAGTAGTCAGGTGGTCCTCAGGGGTGGTGGTTCTGTAATTTAGTTGTAGCTTTGATGTGGTCACGGGAGGAGGCAAGCACGTTTATCTACTCACAAGTGACCATAAATCACTTTACTAGAGTTTTTAGGATCATTCTGTGATGGATTGGGAGGGAAAATGTAGGTCCTTGACCACAATAGTGTGCACACTACTGCCCCAGAACACACATGTCTAAGAAATGAAGTTCATCTGAGCAAGCACAGCCTGATCGCAGGCAGTGTGGTTGTCTACACTCACTGCCCTGTCCACTCCTAGGTGCTACTGGGCCTGCGTGATACCAGCAGCTCCATGGTGGCAATCACGCTTCACAGCCTCGCCGTGCTGGTCTCCCTACTCGGACCAGAGGTGGTTGTGGGAGGGCAGAGAACCAAGATCTTCAAACGCACTGCCCCAAGTTTTACAAAAACTATTGACCTTTCTCCAGAAGGTAAGAGTGACTTAAAAGGTCTCTTTATTGTAAGTGCTGTTATTTTATTAGACTTTTTAACACTGTACAAGTAATGCAGGTGGTTGTACTCAGTCGAATGATACAGAGAAGTGTAAGGGGACAGTTGGTAGTTTCCTTCCCAACTCCTTCTGGGGACAGGAATGGCTGAGTGGGAACTCGTTCATCCCTTTCTCTAACGCCACAAAAAGACAGCTGTATGTGTACACACTTTACAGAAATGAGAAAATACTGTGCACAATTGTACAGCTCAATTTTTGTGTGTGTAGCAGCTTATCAGGGCTGGCCTCTAGGTCAGCACAAACTCTAGCTCACCTTTTGACAGCTGCCTCACTTCACTGAGTATAATTCCCTCAGTGACTTCCCTGTTGATGGACGTTACATCCATTTCTGGATTTTTAACCACTACACAGTACACTAGATATCCTTAGACACACATCTTTATTTCAGATTTTACTGCTGCAGGAAAAAGTCCTGGAAGTAGACTTACTGGGTCAAAGAATATACGTTATTTAAAATTTTGGTAGATGTCAGTTTCCATAAAGTTTTAACAGTTCTTAAGTTGGCCTATTAGGTGAAAAACTGTTTAGGTACTCTAGGAAACCCTTATTTTTGGTATGCTCCCGCCGCATGTTACCTGAGAGGTGGCAGTCATTCCTGGTCTTCATAGGCTGTAAAGGGTCTTTGCTTTTCTGCTCCTATGTGTGTAACCCTGAGTAGCACAGTGACGTTGTTGTGAGACTCCGGCTCTCTAATCCGGTCCTCACTGATAGTGGGTAGATGCAGGGAAATTTATGAGAAAAGAACCATCATCAGACTGGGCTCTAATTTGATGCCAAGAAAATTTTAAAGCAACACCGGCTTCCTGAAGCTTTGCGGAGAGCTCAGCTCTTCCTTTGTTCTGACCACTGGTCAGTGAAGCAGCTCGGAGAGGAGTAGAAGCTGCTGCCACCTCTTCAGCTGTGAAATGTACTCACTAAACTGGGTGAGGTCTGTGCTGCCAAACAGCAAGTGAGCAATTTGCTCATGTCTCATACTGGAGGGATTTGGGGGGCAGAGGAAGATTTGTATAACTTTGGAGATAAGGCTTAGGGGGTCAGTCTTTGGGGGGCAACTTTGTATTTTGAATTAGCAGAAGTCCTCCCTCTGGTGTTATTTACTGCCTGGAGTTCTCTCATTCTAGACATGTTATATACCATCTACCTGGGTCACCCCGTCATCTTAGACTGAAAGGCGCCAGAGCTGCAGGTGAACTTTTATTAAACTAGGTTTTCCTCATGACTTAGCAGACACATCAGGTCTGATACCACTGACTTGCCAGATTAGACTTTTCAAGTGGCCCTTCTCCCAAGGATACGGGGGACCACTGGGCAAGGGCGTGTACAGAGATTTTCTTATTCTGCTCTGTTGCAGTTTTCCTGTATGGCCAGACTTATTAAGTCTGCTGAGAGATGAGGAAGACAATTCAGAGGACATGTTAGGTTAAGAAAAATCAGACTTCGGCAGGGAGGACAGTGGCAGGAATGAAGAGGGTTAAGGGCACGAGGAGGGGAGATGTGGCCTAATTGTGACTGAGCCCAGGTCACTCCCCTCACTTTTTTAAGGTAGAGGAAGTATTTAACCAAAATTTTGTTTCAGTCCTTTTGAGGAATGCCCACTCTTAAGTATGAACTTTCTGGTTTTAAAGGCTGTTAACTTTTCTAACTAGCTGTTGTCCTAAGCTTCTGTCTCTCTAGTCCAACTCCACCACCACCAGGTGGACACTCAGCCTGTCCTTACACACCTCTAGGACAGGTAATCCACTTCAATACTAGGTGTATGTTTCTCCCTGCACTTTACCTTTTATTTGTTAAATATACCTGTTTCCCTTAACCTGTTGCTCACCTGACGTGTGTGCTATAGCAAGATGCGGTTTACTGTCCTCATTTTTTGGAGTTTCTGTTTATCTTCAGATTCTCCCACGCACATCGTCTGCAGCCAGCACAGGCAGACCTCGCCGGTCTCGGAGAGCCCCTCTAGCGTATTTCCTAAAGGTTTCTTTTCTGGTGACAGGCCCATCGACAGCAAGAAGCACAGACAGCGAGATTCCTACAACACTCTTTCCCAGACAGGTAGAAATAGTAAGTTTATATAGCTTTTCCATTACTTGAGTGAACATTTTTCTTGAGTAATAAGTTTAAATTTTGAAAATGAAGGGCCTTTCAGGCACATTGAGACTGATTACAAGAGAAGTCAGCTCAGGTGTCACCCTGCCTCTCTGGGCCACGGGGTGATAAACTACCTTTTCTTCACAGCTGGGAGAAGGGGCAGGTTGACATTGCTTGAATCCTTTTTTGCAGCAGATACTTTACTTTGGACTTTTGATGCCTCAGTGCAGCATTTTCCAAATCGTATCAGAGTAATAGTTCCAGGAGACGTTGATAGGTGTGCATGGGAAAAGTGTTGTGGTTCAATAAGTCTGGGGAAATGCCGGTAGTCACAACACTGCACAGGCTTCCCCATGCCCTGAGCACACAAAGGCAACCTTTTCAAGTGAAGACATGAAAATATGTTGACTTAGGCAGTTTCAGGCTTCACACAACTGACATCAAGGGTAACATCATCTGGATTAACACAATTGTTCCAATATTTAGTATAGGAAGCACGAATTGTTGCTTTTGTAGTTATGTCTGCAAGGATATTTCCAAGAAATAACATCTGTACATTTCTTGTTACCTTTCCCTTAAATCCGTTCTTGCACATATCCCCACAGGTGATCGATTTTCTCAGCCTAGGACATTTCCCTTGAATGGACTTTCAGACGTGAAAAACACCTTGGAAGATAGTGAAAACCTCCTGCCAACACCCCAAGCATCTGAGGAGTGGCCTGACTGGAGCGAGCCCGGGGAGCCTGAAAGCAGAAATGTCAGCACACAGGTGTGGCCTCCAGAGCCCCGGGAGGCTGCCAGGTCCCCTTTCACGAACTTGAAGGTGACAGAGACTTGGGATGACCTTGAGCACGACAGTCTCAGCACTGCAGTGAGCCCAGGAGGCGGAATTACTGTTACCTCGGGGGAGCACAAGGCCATTCCCACTTCACTTCCGTTCACAGAGAAGGCCAATACCAAGCCTTTGGCATCAAGCCAACCCCAAAAGACCAGTCCTGCCCCAAGCGTCGATGGCCCAGACCAGGCGAAGCCACCAAAAGTGTCATCACAAGAAAGGCGCCCTAAGGTTCCCTCAGAACTTGGTTTAGGAGAGGAGTTCACCATTCAAGTGAAAAAGAAGCCAGTGCAGGACCCGGAATTGGACTGGTTTGCTGACATGACCCCCGAAATTAAGCCTTCAGGCACTATTCTTGTTCTACCTGAACTGAGGACAGAAACAATGGTCCCCAACAAGGATGGTGTCTCACCAGAGATGCAGTTTTCCTCAAAATTTGCTGCAGCAGAAATGACTGAGGTAAGGATTTCCCTCGTGGGCACCAGCTACCTGTCCCCTCCATAACAGACTCCAAGCTGTCTTCCCGCCGAGGGGAGAGACGCCTGTGCACAATTGGTGGAAAGGATCAGGGCAGCAAAAAGTGAGTAATGTCACTTCCTATTATCATCTTTCCTTCCCCAGAAAAATGCAGCAGTGCGGCTAAGTGCTCAGTGGCCACTTGTAAATAGTCACCTTTTTACTTGGAAAAGGGAATAAACCAAGAGTAAGGTGCCATCGGGAGGACTTGGTTGGATTAGATGGTGCTTAGAAAGCTGTTTTACTTAGGAGCATCAGGAATTGTATTTTGGCACCAAAGACAAGTGTGAGGCCCCCTGTAAAATGCTGACCTTTCAAATGTGGAGATGCTATCCCAGCGGCTGCCCTTGGCTTTGTGTCGTTGCAGGCGGAGTCTGAAGGCTGGGGAGACGCCGGGGAGCTGAACTGGGGAGACAGCAGCTGGTGACAATGGCTGTGAGTTAAACTCTAGGAAAAAGGATTTTTTAAAAAAATCATACTAATACCTCAAAAGCAGGCTCTGCAGACAAGAAAACCCCAAAGCATCCTGTTTTCTCACACCAGGAGCTTTTCCAGTCTGTGCCAAGGAAGAGAGAGACCTTGGGTGTGGCCTAGGCTGGGGAAAGAGCCTGTGCCTCTGACTAAGGCCAGGTAATTCTGGAAGTAAAGAAAATAAATACAAAAACTTCAAGCTGACTAGCTTAATTTTGTGCCATTTCTTTAACAGTGAGAAGAGTAAACTATTATAAAATACAACACCCAAAAATTTTAACTATTAAGTATATAAATGATTTTAAATTGCTAAGGTTTCCTTAGGCAGCTTATTTGTTTACAGTTTCCAGAGTGAGTGGCCCCAGGGGACCTGGGCAGGTACTGACTGTTCCCAGATGTATTATGTGTACCAAAGTTCTTCGTGAGAAATATCGCCCTTAATCTTGTTCTCTACACATCCAATAAAGACTATTTTTAACTTTACAAAAGTTGTTTTATGTGTTAGAAAATGTATAGACATAATTACATTAATATTTTCATTTACAAACTACACTGGAGAATGACAGTCATACCCAGTCCGTCTGGCAATGCTGCAGCCCAGTCCATTCACGTTTCATCCTGGAGCCCATGACGCTTTAGCTCATCAATCTTTTCCTGTAGCAGCTGCATTTTCTCGGGAAGCCAGTCTGGAGCACGGGACTTCCGCAGCAGTAACTCAATTGCCTCCAGGGCCCCTGTTGCTGCCAGCAGTGCTGACCTGTACTCTTCTTCCAAGGGGGGCTCGTGGCGGGCTCTTTTCGCATAAGGCTGGCAAATGAGAAAAATGTGGTAAGTAATGAATGTCATGATACCTGTTCTAAACACAACCAAGATCCTAAAACTATAAAAAGCTGTATGTGCAAATCTTATTCTAGTCACTGGTTCACAAGGGTGCCACATTCTGTCACCACCTGGAAATATATGCAAAGGTATTTTTGTTTCTCTCAGTGATTCAGGGAGCGAACACCATCAGTGCTGCTGCCTCCGGTACTTCGCAGGTGTCTAGGAACATCTGATACGTCTTTACCATAAAGCCCCACGTGTGGACTGATGCTTCCTTTTAATGCTAAGTTTATAACTGAGGAGCTGTGATCTTTCAGAGGCTTTTGGAGCCAGGCTAAGGGCCAAGACACCGTTTAGAATCATTGTCTGCCTAAGGAAGGTCATAAATTCTTGAGGACTTCTTATACTACTGGTAGAATATTTAACTTCACAGACTTTAGGCATAATAGTCTTGAAAACAAGTTATTAACATGTACAAAAACTTACCAGAACATTGTTCTTCTCGAGGATTACAATTCCAAATATACTGTCAGTGCTCCAAAAAAATTTTAAATATCCTCAATGGTGTCAGATTTCTGCCTCTTAATGGGCAGATGTGATTTCGAGACACTGCCAAAAATTATTAGGATGATTTGAGGAATGGATCAGATAAACATTCTGGAAGGTTTTCCTCTGTGGGTCACAAACTGGGACAGAGGCCACTACAGGTAACGGACAGGTGTGTCGACAGGACATTCAGTATGATGTTCAAAACTGACTGTGCTGTAGTCCTACCTGTTTTAGGTATTCATAACCTTTCAGAGGGAAAATGATTTTTAAAAGAGCACCTTCCATAAAACAGGAGGATCTGACGTGTCTAGATCTATTTATTTTGATATTCAACATGAGAACAAGAACCATACTAGCTTCTGCCTTGCTTGCTCCTTAAGTAATGAGGGCAGAATTTCTGACGACAGTTTGACCCATACTGCAATGCAGTCCTACCTGTAAAGATGACCACTTTGCTTCCTCTAACGTAAGTGTCGCCAAGGATCCCCAGAAAATCCCTTTTTCCTGTTTCACACGCTCCACTCTGGCAGCTGCCGTCTCGTCTACAAACCCCGTCTGCCGGAGATCATGAAAGACCAGGTCAACAGCAGGCAGCATTCTCTGCTAGGACAGCAGTGAGAGACTGCTCTGGCTCCTCCCGGTGTTTAACTATCATCTTAGTGCTTCACTAAACCCTAACACTATCCCCATGGAAGTTGACAAAAGATGCACAGATGCAGGATTGAGTCAAACTGTAAAAACACTTGAAAAAAGTCAGTCCTGTCTGTCAGTGCAGAAAAGCCGTGCCTGTTACATCTGAACCACAGTGGTGCACATGAGCCTCAGACCCACTAGTCCATGTGGGAATCTAATCACAGTCACGGTCCTCACACTGCTACAGGCATTAACCCATGTGTCTGACTTCTGTGACGTGTCACCACTGGGCTGAGGCACTGTGCAGAAAGAAGCTAAGGAGATAGTCTGCCTGGTTAAGAACAGAGTAAGTGACACCATTCCTTTGGTTCTGTATAAAATAAATACCTTCTCCAGAAAGGATACAACTCTGTTTTTAGTTTCTTCAGAACTGAGGCACTGGGGGACTATCTCTTCATGATTTGTTTCCTATTAAAAATAAGACCAATTTTAATATATTTCAATAAGTTGAAAATATACATACATGATGCATTTTTAAAAAATAGTGCAAAAAGACACTTATGAGACAATTAGCTCATAGTTCTTTGGGGTACCTTATGGTAATAAATACCACATTCTGCAAAATACACAGCTATAAGCTCTAATTCTGCCCAATCATCCTTGTGTCTCTGAGCAGCTCACAGTAAGAGGGAAAGAGCCACCCACAGCAGGATCACCACCTCCACAGAACCAAGTAACAGGTCTGTGTTCATCAACCTGACCCCAGGATAGTCTGAGATGATACATATTACCATCCAACCCCAAAATAGCATCTGGGAGACTGCCTGGGTTAGCAGCCCTGCGGGAATGCCTGTTGGGTTGCTACTACCCACAGGACCTGAGGAATCTCACTTTATTTCTTGATGCCTCATCTTTAGTAATATCTCCTGTGGCAAAAAATTTTATGACGAACATACAGAAGCAGTTCTTCAATGTCTCTGGAGCGTCTGAAATGTTGAAATGCTTTCAGGTCACTGCCATAGAGGGGTCTTACCTCCGCAAATCGAGTAAATGCCTCCAAGGCATGTTGTTCTAGTAGCCAGTTCCTGTCAGCCAGCAGCAAAGCAAAAATAGAAGACAGGTTGGGCACAATTTTGTCCTAAAGAGAACCAAGCAGAGGAAGACCTTAGTAGAGTAAATGCAATATGCCTAACGTATTAAAATGCACACTGGTCATGTCACTCCTTTGCTTGAATCTTCCATTTCCCTCATATAAACCAGGGACCTGACCCTGGCCTGCAAGCCCGCTGCCTCTGTTTGTGACATTGATGCGCCCTCAGTGTACCAGACAGACTCCCAGCTCAGAACCTCTGTACCTGCCTTTTCCCTGCTTGGAAGACGCTTGTGCCAGATACCTGCATGGCCTGCTCCACTGGCTACAGGTTCTTACATGTCACCACTGACTGTACCATCCCACTTAGAGCTGTGCCCCACGTCCACATGCTCTATTCCCAGCTCTCTCCCCACAGCACTCCCCACCGTCCTATACACTGCACATCACCACTTCACTGGTCTGCGGCCTCAGCAAGGGGATTTGTTTGGTTCATTATTGAATCCCCAGTGATTAAAACAGTGCCTGACACACATACAAGAACTCAGTAATTTTTTTCTTAAATGAATCAATCTTATCTCATGGTTTTAAATGCCTCTCATTTGCTGCTGAATCCCCAAAATTTCTTCAGGCCTTAACTTCACTCCTGGGAATATACACATTCCTAGAAATATACAAGGTAATTTCTGCTAATAAAAACATCTGTTCTATGGGTTCTGAGCCCATTAGGATCCAAATGCAGCAGCATTTTGGAACACACTCTTATGCTAAAAAGGTTTGGCTACTTTTGCCCACACAGTTGAGAACAACAGCTACGTTTATCTCATGAAATGTAATCTGAGGTGATGGAAGGAAACACTGCAGCATCATTTACCTGAGAACAGATAAGGAAGCCCTTTAGAAACCTGGTAAATTTTTGGTTTCAAAATTTTAATCAACCTGTAATGTCAATTATAGTTTTGCTCCAGTTTCACAGAAGGTCCTTATCAGTGAGCTCTTCCTAGTCCCCCGGAGGAGGAAAATGCCAGCTATCTGGAACTGTGGGGTTGTGACCGCAGTAAAGAAAGCAACACGAACTGAGGACGGTCTCCTTCAACAAGTAAACTGCCAGACCTTCCCAGTACAGTGTCATAAATACCCAATTGTCAACTACATATACTTTGCAACACATTCAAACAGTCTCCCTTTCATGGGTATAAAACCAAAAGAATAATTTTAACTTCACTAAGTTATCCAATTCCCTCCTTATACACACAGTTTTCTTTGCTCAGGAACTTCATGTGCTAAAGCCCACAAAGAAAATCTCAAACTACAGGCATCATATGTATGCATCAATATATATTTTTCTAAAAGAAAATAATTTAAAATGAGTTCTACTTTGACAGTCCCTCTCTATTCACAAAATTCATTTTCCCAACTTTCATTGTCACCAGTCCACAGAATTGAAGACAATAGAAGCCCCTTACACATTCTTGCAGGGTCTTTGTAACAAACAGGAACAGAAATAAGAGTTTTACCTGGACAGCTGCAGAAATGAAAAGTTTTCCTAGAGAAGATGCAAAGTCAAGGACCGCCAAGCGAACGTGGTCTGGAGGCTCTAATTTGAGGAGTGAGGCCTGCAGAGCTACTACCTAAAGAGGTAAAGACCGAAGAATAGTCATTTTGCAGAAATGTCCCAAGATTCTGATGGTGATGTGGGAGGGGAAACAAAGCAAAACCTGCAAGAGCCAAACACTCCACAAAGCCTAAACTTCATGAAGGGGGGATCTGAACAAAACAAATGATCTGAATCCGTTACTTCAGCGTTATTCCTACCAACACTGCATAAAAAAAAAAAAAAGTGTTCCTAAAGAACCAGGTGCCAATGCTCTTCTTTCAAACTTTTGAAAATTCTGTATTTTAAATTCTAGTGAGAGAAGTTCCTTGTTATTAGCAGAGTTTGGCAAACTTTCTGTAAAGGTCCAGGTGGTCAGTATTTTAGATTTTGCAGCAACATACTTTATTGTATTTTATTTTACATACCTTTAAGAAAGTAAAAATCATTCTTAGCTCTTGTGCTGAAAGCAGGGCAGATTCTAGTCAGGAGGCCCTAGTTTGCCAACCCCAGATTTAAGGGAACAAGGAGAGTCTTCTGTAAAGGCAAATGCCTAAGTGAACAATTTACTTATGCTGAAATTTTAGAACTTCAGTTATTTGGATTTCTTAAAGGTAGGCAAAATTACATCAAAATTATCAGTGATTTTTCATAAAAGGATAGAACCTTCAGAATCAACAAATTCAAATTGTTGTATTCCATATAATTTGAGTGAATTTTACCACCCTCATTCTCTGTAATTTAGTAATCCTTGTTACAAGTAATTTAAATATATACCTAATTAACAAATATTTA